CTGACAGGAGAGTGCTGAGCATTCTTACCTTTCTGGAAATAATGGATGTTTTACTGCTGCCAGTCTGTTCCTTTTAGAAATTAAACCATTCAGCTCATAAATCAAGAGCTGAAATTTATTTAGAATAATGGTAACAAAGTCAGTCCCCCACCATGAAGTCACTTTTTGATGAGTGACCACCTAATCCCAGAGATATCATCCTACTATTCACAATGGGTAATTAATGCAAACAGGAAAGGGGACCAGTAAGTGTATATAAGTGTAAGAGTTTGTGTATATATTGAGCGTTTTTTAACTTATTTTGGAAGCTACTAAAGTATACAAACTAAGATTGCTAACCAAACTATATTGGTAGTGAGGTGCTAGAAGCACAACTGACAGTTTTTTCAAACGTGTTTTACTCCATTATTCCCCAGTTGCTGTGGCTCAAGATGATTTTGGTTCCTGAGAACAGCTGATTTCCTGCATTGCTGCCATTCAAGCTGATAGAGATCTGCACAAAAGTGAGTTTATAACTGGCTATTAGTGATGTAATACACAAAAAAGACCAAATCTTTATAGATGCTAGGCACTCAGCCCTTCCAACGCATCTATGTAGCTATTGCTAGTATACAGCTCTGTTTGTTTCTTGGTTTATGACTTCTCTTCATATTATATTGTATTTTTTGAGCACCAGCCTCCTCTGTAACAAAATTACAGAATTTTGTTCTTCAGAAGTTGTACTTCAGTCTTTTCTATTGTTCTACAATACTATTATTTCCTTTTACTATTGTTGTTCTATCAGTCAGTGCTTAGGAAAGCATCTGTCCCTGACTCTGTGGATGCTGTTATTTCTGTTTAAGTGGGGGAAAAGAATATGTAAGCAGAATTGCCTCAAAAACTTTCATGTCTGTGCTTACCTTCCAGAATACAAGTTTGCTTACTTAAAATGCAATGATCCTTCAACTGTTCTCATTTTCTGGAATTAGTTTAGAAGATCTTCTTGTTGAGCAGGTATCATGCAATGTTTTGAGATAAAATAGCATGCCTTATCTCTTAGGCCTGTAGATTGACAGCTTGGATCAGGTTTTCTAGGCTAAGAATGGAAAGTTACTTGGGGCTGACTTCAGCTCCTGTGTAGAGACAGCTGGCATAGGTCAGCCATTATCACTAGACTGGCCCCCACTGTTGCCTGTGCCTACCTGCTGCAGAGTTGGAATAAAAGATGTAGCCGAGTTTTGTTGTTTCTCATCCTATATTGTGGGCATCACTATGTTTGGGAGCTGGCTAGGTAGATAAGTTAGCTGTCTAGCATTAGATCACAGAGTCACCTCTGTGATGATGGTCAGGTACAGCTTAGTTATTTCCTTCTGCTCTGTGTATGTCTCTGCTATGGAACTAGTTCTCCAATCTCTTGGTGCTCTCAGTATCTCATCCAGCAAAGGGTTTGTAAACTCCTTTGTGTTTTGTCAGTGGTGTTTTTACTCCAGGATCTGTTAATCATGTCACAGAGAATACCTTTTTTCTCTGCTTATTTGACCCTTTCTGTGAATGTATCAGAGGTAAGCTTGTTAAATTTCATTTCGCTCTCTGAGTAGGTGCAGCATAAATTTACATGTGTATAGGTTGATCCAATAATTGAAGGTAGCTTAATCAAAGGGATGTCCGGTCTTCTGAAAGCACTGACTATGGTCAGCTATTTATTGAGCCAGATGCTGATGTGTTTGAAATGATAAACTGGGTACCATCCCAGTAGAAAGAAATTTTGTCTTGTTTGCTACTGAAGTTTCAGACCAGAATCCCAATAGAAACTTGAGTGAAATGTCCCCAGCATATAACTAAAATACCAGAGGTGGCTGTAAGGATAACTAGGCTATTTGGTTTTGTTCTCCTTACAATGCCCAAAAAAGAGAGGTTAAACCCCTGTCTATTGCTCTATTTCAATGTAGCATATTCCATTTCAAAACAGAGCTTTGGATATATGTAGGTCTGATTTTACATTTTTTATGAGACAAAATTTTGAAAAATTAAGTGTCCTGTGTAATTTTAAACTTATATTTAGGCTTTAAGATTATTTCTTTTCCCTCTGGCATGCTGCATGGGCCACATGACTCCATACAATCATACGTCTAGGTGCTTAGTTTAGCGTTTAAATCAACATGCCAAGAATTTACACCTTGTAAGAGATCAAGTCTTACATGATAGATAGATAATCACTCTCCATGCATAAATGTACTCATCTGTTAATGCACACTAATATTTTCTCTGCAAAGTAGAAAAACTGCAAAGAAAATAGTCTCATGCTATATATTCAGAGCTGGTTTACAGTTTTCAGGACTTGCTGCAGGGAAGATCTCTGTCAGATTAAAACAGTGTTGGAACTCATGAGCCAAAAAAATAATTTCTGATCTCTGCATGCCATCTATATAGTCTCAACAGACAAATTAAACCCAGTACAATTTGCTTTGCAATTTTTCTGAGCAGGAAGTCATGAAGTACTTATAGCATGACTAGATATGAATTAATTTACAGCCAAGGATATTTACTTTTACTCTGTGACTTTGATTAAAAGGCCAAAGCATTTGTTCTACAAACTGATTCCAGTGCAACAAAGGATGGAATATATTCCACATGCTTAATTTAATCAAGAAAATTGTTCTGTTAACTTCAGAGAGAGTAGTTATGTGCTTAAAATCATGTGCCTGTTCAAATTCGTTGTTGTTTCAAAGTTTTGATGTGTAATACTTACCTTAGTTCCCTTTAAATTGCCAAACTGGTAAGAACACCAACTCTAACAGTCATCAGTATTAAGTTATTCATAGCACTCAGGCATCTGCTTAGACTTCAGAACTTCTTAGCTCATACTAAAATAATAACACTAACAATTACAGCCTTATTGTTCTTTGACAGAAACCCTTTGAAAATCTTGTCAGCAAGAACTCTTTTTATCTCAACAAAACCACAATGTACAGGTCCCCTGCTCTTAACCCCAGGATGCTTTAAGAAGAATCTAGTCTTGTCCAATTGCAGTATTATTGATGAGTGAAAGCTTTTTTGTGCTTTGTAATGCCTTTAAAAGCAGCACAAACAATATTTGTCTGTATAGTATAACCCTTTCCAACTGATCATTGCCATTATATCTCTTTAGCCTTCTAGAATTTGTCTAATCGAGAATGCAACATCATATCTATGTAAATCCAGAGTTCTATTTTAAGTTGGACACCCAAAATTGAAATAGAGAGGGCTTAAAATGTCTTTCCAAGCACGGTCTGGGCTCAGCCAGGCTTCAGTTATAAAATAAAAACATACTTTCTAAGGAGAAAATTTTAAGCCCTGCAGCACTTGCTAACAGCATGCTGGGGCATTGCATTAGAATCAACAGACAGAGAAAAGAGAAACAATCTATAGAGTAATAAAAGACCTCCTTTTCTAGTAGTTGGATTCTCTGTCTCAGCACACTATCAGTTGGGGCTGATTTTCCTTTCTTTGTGATATCCTTAGTAACTATTGTCTTAGAGTGATTCATATAAGAATAGACTAAATGACTGAATGGACTGTGCAGAGTTCACTTTTCTCACCATCAGAGGAGGAAAAAACAGGCATATTCATTGCCATGAGCATCAATTTCCTGCACTCTTAAGTTACTATGCAAGTGAGGAGTAGCTGATACAGCTTGGAACATACTCATTAGTATCAATATGATCTGAACATTTCCATGCCCCGTTTGTCCCAAAGATTCTCTGGCTGCAAACTGTCTTTTCATTTCTTCTCATTTCTCCCTTCATACTTGATCTCTCTTTTTGCTCTTGTACTTCTGTTATTTCTTCCTTTTATTCTCTTCCCCCCCCCTTTTTAATAACTAAAAACTAAAAAACCTCTTACTTACTTAGACCACTCCATAGAATGAGTTCAAGACCTCAGGAGACAGCAGCTGTTAAAGCATGGGAACTATAATGTAGTCTAGGATCAATCCTTCTATTTCTGATAGTTCTTCAGTACTCTTCTTTCCCCTCTTATTCTGCGAGCCAGTACATGCCATTATAATTGCCTTTGATTTCAACTAGACCCTGTTTGGATACTGAAGAGCTATAATGGCAGTGATGAGTTGGAAAAAAATTCTTACCATGGTCAGCTCAATTAAGGCTTATTTGTACACTTGGGTACTGACAACTATATGGACAAATACTGTTTGTTCTACTTAAAAAGCATTACAAAGCAAAAAAAAAAAAAAGCTTTCACTCATCAATAATACTGCAATTGCACAAGACTTGATTCTTCTTAAAGCATTCCAGAGTTTAGAGCAGGGGACCTGTACATTGTGGTTTTGTTGAGATAAAGAGTTCTTGCTGACAAGATTTTCAAAGGGTTTCTGTCAAAGAACAATAAGGCTGTAATTGTTAGTGTTATTATTTTAGTATGAGCTAAGAAGTTCTGCAGTCTGAAGTCTGAGCAGATGCCTGAGTGCTACATTTGAAAAAGGTGCCATTAAACATTCGTAACATTAACGTGGTATTAAACAATGTAACATTATGCAACAATTAAACATTTGAAAAATTATTTCCATGTAAAAATGTTGATTCTCTAATGTTTGTCTGTACATGCAGCAAAATCGGATGGTGTTATAAATTGAAAAATAAATTTAACGTGAACTATATGAGGCGAGAGTAATTCTTCTAAGGGAAAATGCTAATAGAGAAAGAAATAGCCATTTTGTATAGACTCTGGTCCTACAGATGTTTAAATGGCTATTTAAATATAATGTGATAATTTTTATGGGTGAAAAAATGCAGAAAATCTTCTTATAGCTTTTGGAGAATTTTTACATAGACTTTGTCTTCACATTTCTTTCATTTAAGTTTTACAGATGTCTTTTCCCCATGCCCTTCTTAGCTGACTTTCTAGGCAGATGAAATTAAATATATTTGGCCTTGGTAACTAGAAAGACATTCTCTATGTAAGTCTGCCTGATTTGAAGTTACCTGTTTTGGCCCTCTTCCTAGCACATGCCTTAATTCAGTCATGCTCTTTTTACTCTTTATTTGTTCATTCAGTTCACAATCAAAATATGCCAACAGAATTGTAGATGTCAGTGAGATCTCAATCAGGAAATTCTTGTTATTCTGAGCCTTCTTCCTACAGATACATGACCTGACTTCCTATAGTGTCACCAACAACTAATAATTTGAATTGGGAAAGAAAAAATTGCTGATGAGTTCTTCTTTCCCAGAAAGGTCAAATTGAATTCAGTTGGAGAAAAAATTTAAATTACTTTGACCATGATAACTTGCTGTTTTCTACATTCTTAGGATGGTGAATATAAATTCCACTGGTCATGATTTCTCTTTACCATGTACTCTCTCTTGGAATGTGTAAAGACAAACTCCAGCTCTAATTCTCAACAAAGATGTAATTGGCTTGCTGGGATTTTTGAAAGTCATAATTCATCTTTCTTCTTCAGGATGATTTTCCTTACAAGTTCTGTAACATAAGGTCTTATTTCTTCAACAGAGACAGTAGAGTCCCAGGCCTTTACTACTTTCCCATTAGGATCCACCAGGTATTTCCAGAAGTTCCAGGTTGGTTCTTCTCCTGTAGAATCTACGGGGGGGGGGGGGG